TATATAAATAACACATAGCTGAGAGGGTGATAGAGCAGACTGTTATCCCGAGAAAACATTGTCAACTGAGACGAAGCCAAGGTTGACAATATCTTTTCGAGGGGTAACAATCTGCTCTATCACCCTCTCAGATATGTGTTATTTAATTTATTATACTGAATGTTCTGTTATTACTGTCGATTAAATTTCAAATTCAAAGTAATAAACTTTGACGTCTTGTACATAACAACTATCCGTATTTAATAAAGCGCACACTTGATCAAGCGTCTCCGTGAAGGGTAATAGAGTATTTGCCATAGGATAGAGTCGTATTTAATAAAGCGCACACTTGATCAAGCGTCTCCGTGAAGGGTAATATAGTATTTACCATAGAATAGAGTAAATTGTCTCCCTTGTATGAACCAATCAAAATCTGGCATTTTGACATGAAGTATAATAAAGTTTATTGTTCTATGTTGTTAATGCGACTTTCTTCATTATATTTATAAGTCAGACTACCGAAATATATATATATGTATTGAATTGGTCGGTGGTCATGCATGCAGATGCAGAGCCAAAACATACGGCTTTCGAACACGTTTAAGACACATGAGGTTGTAGAGGCTATATCCTAACGACAAATACACAGGCATAGATGACCTCGATTTGGGACAACTTTTCATTTGCAATGCTCTTCAAATTAATTTTAGACTTTGCCTTCCAACTGATTTTATTAAACGCACGTCTGGCATATTGTTATAGTATTTGTTATGAGTTTTTTTATATACATATAGCAGGATCCTGCAGATATTCAACTGTAATTATTTACAACTACCACTGTCATACAGTAAAAGCTGTTCATAAAAATATTGCGATGGAATAAATTCAACAAGCAGTACTGGTGTCAATGAGATGTGGATTATACAAAAAGTTTAAAGATGTACTTGAAATCTTCAACCACAATCATTACAGTGTTTCATCAACATCAAAAACATTCTACCGTTATTAGTACCGTAAATGTAATAACCACCACTTGATCGATACCTTTACTGAAGAACTGTTATTCATCGAGGGTAAAACAAAATTTTACTTACCAAAGAACAACACAAATGTCAACAAAAACCTATCAGGAATACAAAATCATCAAAATGCTGGATTTATTTATTGACATTATTGCGAGTTTGGTGAATTCATATTCTAGTAGCATTCGATATGCTATCGGGTACAAATTGTGCATCCCTACCGCACGACTCTATGAATATTCAAAACCTTAAAAAAAAAAGCATCTCCAAAGTTTTCAGTAACATTCAGATGTACTGATTATGTCTTGTCTCTGCTTAACCAACACTTCAGATAGTGTCTATCTCAGTTTTACCAGTACGATTAACATTAAAATTAGAACGATGCTACAGAAAAAAATCTTTATCTTGAAACTGATCCTGACACAAAAGAACGACTGCAAACAAGACGCTATAAAAATTGTAATGATTACTTTCGATTTTACAACAGTAAACTTTCCATTTCTCATTTTTCATTCCCTCTGAACTATCGGATGACATATTTTAAAAGGGTACTAATTGTGTACCCCTATTTGTAATCTTGTGCGAGTATTCGTGTGAATTACTACAAACCTTCTTAAGGACCAAAAGAAAAGCATCTTACAAATTTCTTTGATTTCACTTTCAGTTATATATTGATGATGACCTGTCGCTCAAAAACACATTTCAGTGAGTGATTGTATATAACATATCCCAGTGAACGGGAGATAAAACATACTACTGAAACGGAAGATGGACGAACTCAAAGTAGAATCTATGACAAATATGATTATTTCAACTTTCCATTTCCAATTTCTCAGCAGTAACATACCCTTTGTCCCTCCTTTTTGCGTTTACAAGTCTCAATTAATAAAATTAAAGAGGGGAGAAAGATACCAGAGGGACATTCAAACTCATAAATCGAAATTTAACTGACAATGCCATGGCTAAAAAAGAAAACGACAAACAGACAAACAATAGTACACAAAACACATCATAGAAAACTAAGGACTAAGCAACACGAACCCCACTAAAAACTGGGGGTGATCTCAGGTGCTCCGGAAGGGTAAGCAGATCCTTCTCCACATGTGGCACCCGTCGTGTTGCTCATCATAGTACACACCCGGTAAATAGTCTAATTCGGTAGGTCACATTCGTGAAAAGGGAACGGGATTGTTGTTACGACATTAGCAACATATCCGCTATCATCTGTGAAACGGATATTCCATAAAGGTCAACCAACTCGTGATGGCGTCCGTAAAATTTACGAAGGGATGACTTCAACTTCACCATTTTGAACTCTTGGTTTAATAGCTTTTTTGTGAGCAGCAACCCTCTATCAAAGGAAATCATGATAGGAAATACAAGCCCGGGAATATCGTATCAATTGGGAGATATAAACTCCGTATGCAGGCGCTGCTGGAATGTTGCTACACAGAATTGTGGTGAAATCATCTCTTTTGTCGTCAAGTTTTGTTTTCTACCAACCCTCATTGTAAATTTCTAGATGTGAGGCAGACTTAACTGTATCTGTTGTATCCTTTATCTCTAGTTCGATGGGATAGATGGGTCCAACAAAGTCACCAAATTTTGAATTATCTATATAGCGGAAAGTAAAGTTAAAGGATACTGCTAACTTCTTTTCTTTCTTTCTTCCTAAGAAGTTCCTGTATGAAGTCAGCCTCATAAGAATAAAGGAACAAGTCGGCAAGAAGAGGGGCAAAGTTGGTTCCCATGGGAATGCCGATAGTTTGTTGAAAAACATGTCCTCCAAACGTAACAAATATGTTGTCAATCAAGAAATCAAGCATCTTGATAATGTCAGTTTCAGAGAATTTTTTGTTTGAATTAGAGTGATTTTTTACAAAGTAGGAATTATCCCTTCTTAAGACAATATACTTGTATCTACGTTGGCCATTCTTTTTTTATGAAACAAAGCAATACCAACTCTTTCAATTTGTCTTTTAGTTTGGAATGGGGAATACTTGTGTAAAGTGAAGAAAAGTCTAATAAGTTACGTTTTTGTTTTTTCAACCTGATTTGTATTAGTATTAAATTGGAACATCGGTAACCTACTGTTGTTCCTAATTTACATATTAAAAAGTAAATAACTCTGGTGCATGTTTCCATTAAAAGGACTTCATTAACAGGAGTTTGATTCTTTCTACAAAACTCACAGCGAAGGATATGTGACAGAACAACTGCAATCGATACGATGCAAGCTTGACGGTCACCATAAATAGTTTGTGAAACGATAGGACGTGCCAGTGTTCCAAGTTAAGAGACACATTTGCGCAGTCTTATATCTAGAGACACCAGAAAAGTATCTGATTTCGCCCTGTTCCATATTGTGACAATTTAGAATGTGGCTGCATTCAAATGGCATATTATCTATGCAAGATCACACGGTCTTTATTCGAGATAGTTCAACTCCATCAAGTCTTCGTGTGTGTGTTGTGTGTTTAATCTCTCTCTCTCTCTCTCTCTCTCTCTCTCTCTCTCTCTCTCTCTCTCTCAATATATCTCTTGTCTCTGTTGAGAGAATCTCGTATACATTTACATGTGTCAATATAAAAAGAAGGCGATGAAGTATGATTGCCAATAAGGCAACTATCCACCAGATTTCAAATGACAAAGATATAAAGATAAGATCAGGTTGTAGAATAGATCAGTTAATTTTTTCTGATTATGAAAATTAAGTGTTTAAGTGGTAGATATTGAACTGTATCTACTGGGCCTTTCTGTAAAGTAGCTCTATTTATATCCTACTTTCTCATAAGAAGGAAAACAACTTAATTGTTAAGCCAAAAAAGGGCATGAGATGACAATAAAAAATCCTATTATAGAATATTCTATATGTGTTACAGACATATTGATGTATTTTATCATATTTTAAATAAGAATATACAGATATACCAACGTTTTACAATAAACGTATATAATAATACAAAACAATAAATAAATTGGTTTTTTTGTTTTTGTTCTTCACTTTTATTCTCTGATTTGATCGAAACATTGTTTATCGGATCTGAACAAGTTAAAGAAAATGAATAATGGCGATATTTCAGCCTTACAATTATGATGAATTTTTGAGCGCCAGTTCCTTTCATTTCTATGGTAACACTGCAATCTTAAAGGTCGTAATTCTATCCCTTTTTAATTAATATGATTTTTTAAATCATTACTATTGCTGTAAACGGAAGGTTTTGTACAGTAGACACTATCAGGCCGCATTTATTTTTATTTCTGGTTTATAGAAGGGATATTTGTATAAGGGTAAGTAGGCGTGTTCAATTTTCATTTTATTTTCCAAAGCAAATTTTATGTAATCATTGTGCAAATGGTCGTTGGTGAAGCGCTTTAAACAATAATATTAATTAAAAAATCATGAACAATTTAGGTATTTCATAGTTTCAAACAATGTCAACTATATTTGCAAGGCCTTTTGGGCTAAACCCGAAACGGCACTCCCAGATGTTTTTTTTTTGCATGTAGTTCAAGTGACCATACTATTTTGTTTCATTAGATAATATTTGATTAAAATTTATTGGAAATGTAAAATCACTTGAATTTGATGGAAAGTAATTAATATCACAGCAGCACATAAAACCTTAGACACACTCTGTTTTAATATCCAACTAAATGTGCTACAGTAAGTTGTTTGCAATATTTTAAAACTACTTGTTTTTCTACTTTCAGTGTATATCATGTATGCCGAAGGGTATTGGTACCCACATGTTTTTGCATGAAGACATTCTCAATGTTCATACACAAAAATCATTTTCCTCTGCTACAGTTGTTTCAAACTTTATTAATCAATGTTGCTCGAAGCACATTTACCCACATCCTCCTACAATATGTTTTACATTTTAAGATACAGCACATGATATAAGTAAAGTATTCAAATATATTATTGTTGTGAGCAACATTCATCGTTTCATTTACAGGGGATAAATTCTGAGGTATGCCTCAATGACAAACTAATAAAATAAGTCTTTTATTCGCCATATATAACATCTATATCTGATTGCACTGAAGTAATTAAGACGGTATACTCTTTATCTAAAAGAAATTCCAATGAAATTGACGCTAGTTTTTTGTAGAACTGTATCAATATTTCATCTTTTTACCTGTCAACCTGCACACGAGTTAATGAAAGAAATTCCAGAAAAGCGCTTCGGACGTATGTAATTTATAACATGTTGTTTTCATTATTTAAGAAAAACGTAGAATACGAGTGTTATAAAACTCATCAACACATTTTGGTACGCCAGACGCGCGTTTCTTCTACATAAGGCTGATTAGTAGTGTTCGAATCAAAGCAATTAGAAGGCATGAATCTAGTCATTGTCAGTTGATTAACGTTTGAAGTTTTAAGATAACGTGTCGACTTCATTTCTGACACAGTACTCCAAGCGAAATGATTGGTTTGAAATTAAAGGGGATTCCTGTTGTTTCCATACTTAGCTCCTATTAATTTTAAGAACAATAATATTTTACCATTTTGTATTGGCATGAATTTGAAAATAAAGAGTTTGTATATAGTTTGCTGGTAGTGAAATAGGTAAAAACCGCTAAAGCGAAAACCGATATCAGGTAAATTAAAATACTTAAATAGAAATACAACTTCGACAATTCACAGAGACATATCAATTCTTGTTTCTATATTGTGTAAGCTGTGAAATATGTTATTTCTTGTCAGATGAGTCAAATGTCAAATTAATAAGACCTCAATACTCATATCATTGATCAATGAAACATGTAGTCTGTCGCAGAACTGTCAAAAGATCCATGGAATTTAATAAAATCGCAAAGAAAAGTTTTTTGATCAGTAACTACTGATTTGGTTTGGTGAGTGCCATCAATTCTGGACTTTCTTCTTTCTGAAACAACAGAAGATTATGTAAACAGAAATTTTCGTACGCACAACACATATTTCTTGAATGACTGGTAGATTGTTTGGCAATAATACCACATCTTCTTATTTTATATTTATAAGGTTTTCAAATGCTATCCAAGAACTGCTATCTTGACTTAATTATCCTGGTGCATATCGAGGAATATAAATAACAAAAATATTAGAGACATGTTACATGTGAAATAAAGTCATATTTTGAATAATGACCTTCAATCCCATGATCGTAGTCGCGTGCATTTAGTTTGAATACAAGACATGATGCTACCTGTATCCAACATTAAGCGATAAATTTCAAATTTATAAAATTAAGATGTAACCAGCAGGTGCCACAAATAACACCAAATTTACATCAAATTACATGAAAGATGACTATAATTTTCGGTTAAGCAAACAATTATGTCAAACTTGATATATTAAAAGAGGGATGAGAAGATACATTTTGTAAATTGAAAAACAGAAGTAGAGGAACAGCAGAAAACACCATAAAGTCACGACGAAGAGACAATCTCAAGTCCTAACAAACATTACATGGAAAAATAAAGATTGACCAACACGAACCCCACCAAAAACTGGTGTGATATATAGTGTTCCGGAAGGGTAAGCAGGTCCTGTTTAACTAGCGGCATGTTGCACATGGTAAGTAACTATTCGGTGATAATTCTCATTAGGGGATGTTCCAATCGAGAAAAAAAGGACGGGATCGTTGTTACGACAAATGGAACATATTCTTGGTCATCTGTGAAGAAGATATTTTATAACGGACTACCAACTCGTGATGGCGTCACTAAAACATTCGAAGGAATGACGTCAACTTTACAAATTGAAGCCTTTGGTTTTAAAATACGGTTTTATTATTGTGCCGATTTTTCTATTTGTATTTCTTTGATTTCCGACTTTCATTTATGTAATGTTATCTATTTGCTGTTATTGTATAAGGATTATCAAGACTACATGTATTTCGTAGGCTTTGAGCATCAGCTCAAAGTTGACGACTACTAAATCTTCATTATCATACCTACCATTAGCATTCTTGACGTCAGTTTCTTTTTTAGTATTTATTACGTACCACTGATTCCAAGCGATGGCAAATTTGTTCTGTATCATTGGATTTTATAGACGGAAATCTTTGTTTAGCACTTCCAGTACAATGCATAAGTCTGTATTGTTTCCATTTTCGACTCAGAAGCGAAACTACCTGTTTGAAATAAGAAAAGTTCGATTACGTCTTTTGAAATAAGATCGAGCAGCATTAGAATGTCATTGCAAATTATAAGCAACGGCTGTATATAATAACAATTATTTGTAATCATTACTTACCAACATGTAGGTATTTGTTTTTGGCATTCTGATGACATTTAAAGGATAAGGGTTCATTTGGTCAAATTTGGGCCCCAGTTCCCCGTGAATTTATTTCAAATCATAAGTTCTTTCAATCTTTCCTTAAATTTGAAATGCAATGTGTGTTCTTTGAGATTCTTACAATATAACGGTTTTTTTTTCACTAAACAGATGAAACAATTATAAACGCATAAAGCTATACTGAGTAAAAAATGTTTACCAACATATATTTAATAAATTATCTTTAAAAACTACAAAGCAGAAATGCATTTTAATATCTTGTTGTAGAGTAGCATTTGCACCTGCTGTTTTATTTTCTTTGTTACAATAATTTATTTATTGTTTTGTTTAGAAAAATAGTTTATTTTTTTTAAATATGAAATTAAAACCATTCATTGCTAAACTTTATTACTCAGTAAATTTTAAAACCACTATTTGAGAATATTTGAGTATTTATCAAATAACTTCCATGGGAATAATGTTCTTAAAATCAAACTTTTTTTGGAAGTAAATCTATGAATTATGTTCACTGTCGGGTAATAATTTATTTTGGTAAGAGGCGTCCTTCGAGGGACTTTCCGTTTTGAATTTTCCTCGGAGGTCAGTATTTTTGTGATTTAACTTTTTTCGGTACAAAAATTTACAAAAACATTTACAATTTGCACCATTTTATCCAAATGTCCTCAACATCAACATGTAGCGTTCAATAACAATTATAAATAGTTGTAAAATAATTGTAAAAAGAATATATTAAAGATTCTTTGATATTTAAATTTCAGTGTCACTTGACAACTTTGAAATTTTCAATCTGTGAGTGAGATAGGCCAAATTTCCCATAGCTCTTCATTGAACATTAAATGGATATATGGAAAGTAACAAGAAAGAAAATGTAATGCTGTAACTTTAATTCAAGTGAAAAGTGTTAATTTCTAAAGTTATTTGACATCGAAAAGCTCAAGGTAAAGCCAGTATCGAACACAAACAGTTATGTTCATACACGAATAAAACATTACGTTTGACAACAAAACATTTTTAAATAAGGGTAAAAAAAACAAAATTAAAGCAAACCGTATTGTCTTTCTATTGTATACGAAATGATATCGGGTTGTCAGTTTAGCTCAATGTTCAGTTGATATCAAAACTATTTGTACTAAATGTAGCACAAGTGCATATAGGATATAGCTATGGCGATTATACTTTCGTAATATTCTTTGTTCATACTGTTTTAACCAAAGCAGATCCTGATTTGAAAGCACTACCATTGTAGTTATTGCAATAGAACAGGGTTCGGTCTTTTATTTTTCTTACTTTTCTATATTTGTAAATGTTTGGGTCAAACATGTCAAAAACATCCATCTCCATTTAAAGTTAAATTCACGTTTGGTGGCAAAAACATAACCCTCAAAATAACAGGTCCAATTTGATGACAGATATGAAGGTACATCGAGTATAATAAATGGGCAGATAAGAATAAACTAATACATACCTCACCATTGCAAAAGCAATATATTATGGAAACAAAGGCCCCCTGAAAATAATATTTTCATCATTGTAAATTCATACATTAATATGTATAATGATGGAAACTATTGATATTAATATACAAATTAAGAAGATACAAAATGAGGAAATAAAAGTTTATAATTTGAAGGAGAAAGTCAAGCAAAATCATGGCCCAGGAAAGCCAAAAGAAATCCCACGAACACTACACAGAAAACTACAAATGGAAAAATACAAACACCATAAAACTTGAGAGAGATCTCATGTGCTCCGGAAGGAATAAGCAGCTCCAACCAGCATAAGGATGCATGATAATTTTGAAATGACAATTGTGTATTTGAAGATAGATTTTTAAATGCCAATGACCAATTACAGGATACAAACTATATGTTTACATTATCGAAAAATATGGGTTTTTTTTATCTGTGCTAGCTACAAAACTGAAGAAAATCATGGTAAGCATCGCTTTTCTTCCTGTTTCTAAAGCTCTAACAATATTTTTGTTCAATTAACAGAAGGTAGATCTTTTGAAAACTTGAAAATTAAAATGAGTTAATGTTCAGAAATCATTAGTATATGATGACAAAACACCTTTCACGTTGCAGTGTTTCTAGGCCTAATAGTTGTTCACCTAAACTTTGATGGAAAATGATAGCATTATTTCAAAAATATGTGGTCCTTAAACGTTTTTCCCCGAGTATATATTAAAACAAATCAAATATATTTTGTTCGTATAAAAAAAATGTACCTAACCGATGCGAGCTTTTTTTTCAAAGTCTGATAATTTACTGCCCTTTTTACTATAGTTCAAGTTGTATTTACGCAATTTATGTCATCATCAAAATGGAAAATACACTTAACAATGTATACAGTTTCTAACATTAAGAGTAAGAAATATATTTCAACATATATTGTAAATTACCAATCGCATCTCAAATCTAAAGCTTTTTCGTGGACATAATTGAATGAGCATACGAAAAAGAAATGCACAAAAGCCAATTTGGAACAAGAACAGTTAATCCTCTTTGCATATAATTTATTTAAATGAAGAAGAGTTGCTTTTATCATATCTTTTAGTGACTTAATAACAAATCAGAGTGTTTATAACATATGTGATGTACGTCGACTTAAATTCCCAAAAGGCCACTTTTTCGTATTTCTGATATGGAAATGTTTGTTTGACATGACTACTATATGAAATGAAAACATATTTCCACAAACATTTTGAATATCAAGTTACAAAAGGTAATATTATCAGAATATAAACAATAATACACTTAAATAAAAGATACAATTGTTGGAACATTTTGATAATAGTTATCAAAGGTACCAGGATTATAATTTAATACGCCAGACGCGCGTTTCGTCTACATAAGACTCATCAGTGACGCTCAGATCAAAATAGTTATAAAGCCAAACTAGTACAAAGTTGAAGAGCATTAAGGACCCAAAATTCCAAAAAGTTGTGCCAAATACGGCTAAGGTAATCTATTCCTGGGATAAGAAAATCCTTAGTTTTTCGAAAAATTCAAAGTTTTGTAATAAGAAATTTATAAAAATGACCATATAATTGATATTCATGTCAACACCGAAGTGCTGACTACTGGGCTGGTGATACCCTCGGAGACGAAACGTCCACCAGCAGTGGCATTGACCCAGTGGTGTAAATAGTTATCAAAGGTACCAGGATTATAATTTAATACGCCAGACGCAGGTTTCGTCTACATAAGACTCATCAGTGACGCTCAGATGAAAATTGTTATAAAGCCAAACAAGTACAAAGTTGAAGACCATTGAGGACCCAAAATTCAAAAACGTTGTGCCAAATACGGCTAAGGTAATCTATTCCTGGGATAAGAAAATCCTTAGTTTTTCGAAAAATTCAAAGTTTTTTAACAGGAAATTGATAAAAAGCCATCCAGTGTCGTAGAAAATGTGTATCACTGTGTGTTTTTATTTTCACTTAATAGAAGTAGTGGCTCATAATTGATACGATCATTCTCACAACTTACATTGATTTTCTTCACATTCCTTAGTTATGACTGATATAAAAAGCATTGGTCCTTGACATGGGCAGACATGATTAAAGCTTTTAATTTCAAGCTTGACAATATTTTAGTTGGTTATGGCAAGTTAATTTATCTTCAAATTATCAGAATTCCTAGGAGTACTAACTGTGGACCGCAACTTGTCACATTTTTTTTAAACTTTTATGAACCTTCCTTCATTGTAAAGTTCTAAAGGGGAAAATTACACATTCTGATAAATACATTGTAAACTTTAACAAATGAAAATAACACTTGATAAATTTCGTACGTTCGAAGCAATTTTCTGAATTATCCTTCATCAGGAATGTTCATACTCAAACATTTAACAACAGCAGCATATAACTTGATGATTCATTTACGGTTGATAATACCGAGTTTATTAAACATGATGAAGATATCTATTCAAAACAACCTCAACTTTTTAATGCAAAATATATAACATTCAATACTGTCCATTTTTACATAATTGCACTGGTAAAACAGGAAAACATAGAAACTAAATTAAGGTGACAGTTGCTTACCGATGTTCAAATCTCGCAAATCGATTTAGAACAGACAAATAAATTTAACAACCAAAACCTGAGGGAATCGCATGAACTCCAAAAAGGAGAGATACTGGGTGCGTCTACAAAATAAGCGTCTCCTGATATGCATGCATCACCCACCGCGCGAATAATTCACACTCTGTCAAAATGTCAAAATCTGGTAACAATCGGTAAAATTACAGATCAGACGTCTATTTTGGTACTTAAAAATCTAAGACCGCGAAAGCATTTCGCTAGTGAGTTGAGACACCGACACATCGTATCGGTCAACCGATTCGTTATGGTGACCGTTAAACTTATCAACTTATCTACGATCTGCTTAACATTTCAGAGCACCTGAGATCAGCCCCAGTTTTTGGTGGGGTTGGTGTTGCTCAGTCTTTAAGTTTTCTATGTTGTGTTTTACGTACTGTTGTGTGTATGCTTGTTTTTTCTTTTTTTTTTCTTTTATTTGCCATGGCGTTGTCAATTTATTTTCGACTTATGAGTTTGAATGTCCCTTTGGTATCTTTCGCCTCTCTTTTATCTAGTGTCGATTTCAGTCGTTCATAATTCTTTTCGAGAAGTTCTTGTGTATGGAGTGTGAAATATACCACAAAAAAAATAATATCAACTTTCCCATAACAAACTTCCTTTTTAAGATGGCGATGTTCCTCTTGCCGCATCCTTTGGTTTGTACATACTACTACGTGTACGATTTGCTCTTATATGTTCTAATGAAGCTCACTTTAACGAGCATAACAATTTTAACATAAATGTTACTTTTACATATATGATTAAACTTGTAAATGATCATATACAACAGCAAGGTCTACAGTTAAAATGTTTCTTCCTTCTAATGTTCTGACGATTTTAAAATAATTATTGACGTTTCACAAATACTGCTAATTCAAATTAAATTTTATGATGAGACTTCATGAAACCTGTTTGGAGTTTTCTGTATCATTTTAATTTGTTTTCATTGGCGGTTATTTTCACACAAAATTTGTTACAACTTATAAGCCCTGGTAACTTTGGTGTTGTTTAACAGATAGATGCCCAGATATGCCTTTAACAATAGCATTGAAGTGTCATAGTGGTTTCATGTCGGCATACATTTCTCTTAATAGATTTAGACATAGACTTTTGAAATATTCACAAGATAATTCTAACCTGGCATGACGTTAAAATAGCAGAACAATACATATAGACATCTTCAAAGGGGGATCCATGGTCAGGTCTCATCGGTAAAAGTAAGTATTGAAATCCTAATAGTGGAATCAGAACTAATGTGGCTCTGGCTGCTTTCCTAGTGATAAAGAAGCCATTTTTGATGTATCATATAAGTCACCATTTTCAAAGTATGCTTTCATTTGAAGTATTTAAATCTTGCATAGTATATGTATCAAAATGTTTAATTGTATATTGTAAAAACAATCCTTCGAACGAAATATAATGAATGTAGTGCGAATTTAAATCAGTTCTTTTCTTTATTTTATATTTCTGATTATATTTCTATATTTTAATACTTAAACTAGATACAACTTTTTTTTTATCAAGGATGATATTTATTTTCTGAAATGAAATAACTTAAAAAATAAACATTTGAATGTTCACATAACTGCATATTGAATTTCCAAGGTCAAATATAATATTGCATCCACTTGATTGTGTACTTACTTATTTTGCGCTGCTTCTGGTAGATCCTTTAATTTTGTCACCAATAACCGCACAATATTTATGAGAAATATGATATTAACCTACAAATATAATATTAATGTGAATATCAAAAATATGTAAGATTCTTAATATACACATTTTACATGTGTAACCGTCACCTGTACATGATATCCAGTCCAAAAGCTTACTCGTTTGCCGTAATTTCCAATTTTCAAAATGTTCATTACACAAAATTTTGTACCGCATGTTATTATGATAGATATAGTCTTTAAAAAGAGGAAGGAACAGAAATAATGTATTTTTTCTTCACTTTCTGGGAAAAGGGGGGGGCTGGGGAGGGTAACAAAATCATTACAATGAGACCGAAGGAACATTTAGGCGCATGATATTGTTTTTTCTTCATCTGATTCCTGGAATTAGTGTACGATGATTATGTATTTTAACAATTCTGTAGTTTTTTTAAAAACATGTAATGCTTCAATCTATTTTCTAGTGAACATATCGAAAAATCTATCCTCAATATTAGTGAAAATAAAAATTTGGATTATAAATAATCACTGTAGATCGTGTTTTCGCCAACAGAATTATTTATCTTATTTGTACATCCAGTGTACTGTTATTATGTGTTCATGTTAACTACTTACAGCCAGAGAAATAACTATTTGTCCATATATAATCCATTGAGAACTACTAACAGCCAGAGAAATAACTATTGGTTCATACATAATCCATTGAGAACTACTTACAGCTAGAGAAATAACTATTGGTCCGTACATAATCCATTGAAGACTACTTACAGCTAGAGAAATAACTATTGGTCCATACATAATCCATTGAAGACTACTTACAGAAGGAGAAATATCTATTGAACTATACATAATCCATTTTGAGACTACTTACAGTCAGAGAAACAACTATTGGTCCATACATAATCTATTGAAGACTACTTATAGCCAGAAAAATAACTATTGGTCCATACATAATCCATTGAAGACTATTACAGCTAGATAAAAACTATTTGTCCATACATAATCCATTGAAGACTAATTACAGCTAGAGAAATATCTATTGGACAATACATTATCCATTGGAGACTGCTTACAGCCAGAGAAATAAATATTGGTCCATACATAATCCATTAAAGATTTCTTAAAGCTAGAGAAATAACAATTGGTCCATACATAACCCATTGAAGACTTCTTACAGCTTGAGAAATATCTATTGGACTATACATTATCCATTGGAGACTACTTACAGCCAAAGAAATAACTATTGGATCATACATAACCCATTGAAGACTTCTTACAGCTAGAGAAATATCTATTGGACTATACATTATCCATTGGAGACTACTTACAGCCAAAGAAATAACTATTGGTCCATACATAACCCATTGAAGACTTCTTACAGCCAGAGAAATATCTATTGGACTATACATTATCCATTGGAAACTACTTACAGCCAAAGAAATAACTATTGGTCCATACATAATCCATTGAAAACTACTTACAGCCAAAGAAATAACTATTGGTCCATACATAATCCATTGAAGACTACTCTCATCCATCCAACATCTACAACATATCATTTTTATTAGATGTTGGTGTTTTATTATATACAGCGACAATTTAATCATAATTTAATTACTAGATGATAACATGCAATACATGTAGCATTACTCTGACCTTCATCTTGATTTCAGTATTATGGAGATGCCAATGTAAATTTTAGTCAGAATTTGTAACACCATGTGTGAATCCTATATAAATTACATCTTGAACAGCTGCATTCGTTAGACGAAGATTTATTTCTATTTCATAAGAATAACATTGTTTGTTACCCTGGCGTCAAATTGTACTCAGAATATTCTACCTATAAAAAGAAGTCGCCACAAGGAGTCATAAAGACATACTTTTATTAATATTTACACCTAGAAAGGAAAATACATGTTAAAAGGTTACACATTTTTTTTCAAATATCTTGTGCTTCAAAAATATTTTGCAATCATACATTGAATTTTTAGCTTACTTTCGAGCGAGCCTTATGTTAAACATGTTTTTCTCGGATTCTTTTTTAATTTACTTTCACAAGCTGTAAGCTGAAATAATGGAGTTCTGTAGGGTATTAAAGCATCCACGAAAGTTGTTATTGAAAGAAAACATAATAAATATTTTGGGTAAGTTTTATAAGGATAAATATATTTTTTCTTAAAGTTATTGACAAGTATACAGGGCAACTGACTCGTAAAATTTACATAAAAGTTTGGACTTTTATTACGTGTACGATTTAATCGACCAAGTTTCCAGATCAATGACCTCTAAAAAAATGTGCTTAATCCTATTATAATCCGTGCTTAAATTTGTGTAAGGGGTTCATAAATGAAGTATACCACTCCCCAAAGCAAATATTAGTCAAAATACCAGCCTTACAATTTGGTACGTCAGACGCGCTTTCACTGATAAATGAATTCTAGTCTGAAACGGTCATTTTTATCTTAACATCATCTAAAAGTCTGGACAAGATGATTTAGGCATGCTCAGTCCTTCAGTCAATTTTCAGATGTATTCACTGAGGTGATTTTTGCTTATCCTTCCGGAGTCCTTAGATCACCCAAAATTGCGTTGGGGTTCGTGTTGCTCAGTCTTTAGTTTTCTATGTTGTGTTTTGTGTACTGTTGTTTGTCTGTTGGTCTTTTTCTTTTTTAGCCATGGCGTTATCAGTTAATTTTTGACTTATGAGTTTGAATGTCCCTTTGGTATCCTTCGCCTCTCTTTTTCAGTACTGTTCAGATAATTCGTTTGCCATCAATTCAGTTCTGTTCAGTAGCTTTTCAGACAATTCAGAATGAGTTGACGTGTACAGGTAAATGAGAACTACTACCAGTCTGAACATAGATTGACCAGATCTTAATTGACTGCAAGATAATTGTCTGAACAGTACTGAATTTACCGCAGTGGAAAGTAAGAAAATTACTTCAAAATAATCGTTTCAGATCAAAATTATGTTATTCCTCTACGTAAGACTCATCAGTGGCGCTCGAATCAAAACAGATGGATGTCCAAATTAAAAACGTAGTTAACGGGCATTGAAAACAAAATTTCAAAAACAATTTGCAAAATACGACTGGTGAAAACCTCGCGGACGAAACCCCACCAACACTTTCATCGAGGAAGTGGTAATAAAAATTCATTAAAGATACTAAGCTTATAATTTTGTAGCGCAAAAGCACATTTCGTCTTCATAAGACTCATCAGTGGTGACCACATCAGAACAATTGGAAGGCCAAATCAATTACAAATAAAGTGAAGGGCTGTAAACCCCTAAATTATAAAATCAATTTGCCAAATTCGGCTTAAGTCATTTAGGCCTTCGATAGAAACCTATCCGTTTCGAACATTTCATAAATAGTAAACCTACAGAAATTGTCCGTTTTATTCTGTTGCTACAAGACAAGTAGTCACACAATAATAAGGTATAAATTATAATTCATGCTCTAAACGAACGCATTATTCAAACTTATGCAATCGTGTGTGTCCACAATCTCTATCTGTTTAGTTGATTCGTTCACATTTGTTGTCCATTAATATCATTGATTTTAAACGTATATTTCTTCACGAATCACTTTGTCGTTGTTACCTTTTCCAATAAATACATTTTTGGAAACCCCTTTCGTTTTATATTCGCAATTATGATATAAACATTTATATGAGCTCATTGAAACAAAACAAAACAACACTTTATGGATGTATGCGTCCGAAGCGTTTTTCTAGATTTACCTTCGTCAAGAACGCCCCAAGCCGAATATTTGAAAGCCAAGGATTTATAAGAACCGAAACAGTTGAAGAGCTATATGACTAAAAAGGACATAAAAATAATAGTCTAATCCATATAAAGTAACCTTTGAATGAGGGAGGTGAAATCTTAGTTTCTTAATAATTTCTAAAGTAAGAAACAGACAATTCAAATAAGGTATGTTATTACTCATATCAGTTCCGAAATACTGACTACTAAGGTGATGATACCCTCCGGGACTTGTTATCTAATCACCAGCGGTATCGAACCATTGCTATAAAATTTGCGTCTATTTACCCCTTGTCCATGTCAAGCAAAGTCCGGAACAGAATACACCCAATGTATACCTAAAAACTTCAAATATGGACAATTATCATTTGGTTTTTTTTCTCTGTTTGATGTCATCTTTCGATATATTTATTATTCAAGCAATCCAAATGTCCAGAGCTATTTTCAATGACCATGTTTATCGCTAATAACGGATCACAAAGTGAGTGATCTACAAATGAGGACCCTCATATTTTTGTAAAAAATCATATACTTAGTAATCATCTGATCAGGTCTTATCAATTTCCTCAGCAACATATTTATGATTTAATATAAAACGGACAGTCGTGATAAAATACAATATTTCATTTTAATAAGCGAATTTGCTTCTGGAAGTTATGATAACGATTTCCTTTTTAATTTTGAATCATTATATATTAAATTTTGATTTTTGTTTTACAATAATCAGTTGAGGCGTAAACAGGAATGAAATATTGTAGAATATAATGGCTACATGATAATGTTTCCTTCTTCAATTATTAACTCCGAACATTTCCAATTATTGTCAGTATCGTCAGCGTTACAGAAGACTTTTAAGAGATATAAATAAGAGCGTAAAATGATTTCAATTTGATATATAGACAAAAGAAATAGTAATGAAGTCGTAAAAATAAAACATGCACTAATCGTTTTATACGAATATGTCTGACTTTTTGTGTGTTTTTTTTTTAGTTTCATATGCTGCTAGAGGGGATTTCTCTCAGGATTAAACTTCAATTCCCGAAAAAGAGGAAGATTTTAAATTATCATTTTTTTTATCCAGACTATTGACATTTTCGCCGATTTCTAAAAAAAACAAATGAATGATTTGGGAACTTTTTCGACATAATTGTGTCTATTCTGTCTTCCTATGTACGCCTTTTAAAAAAAAGCATTGTTCTTCACAACAAAATGAAACAATAAAGATTATTGAGATAATAAACAAAGTAATAAATTAAATGTAGTTCACATTACAGACACAAACAAAAGGGTTATGAGTTTAATTTGGCAAAGTTAGCAGCTAAAGTTTGTTCATAATCAGTGATTGTGTGTTAAACGAAAACAAACCGTAACTATTTCTGGACTCCTTCACCTGACAAAACTTACACTGTATTGTCTACTGTTGATATGGCTCTAAGTACTGCATATATAATGGTTGGGTAAATTGGGACCACTAAAACGAAAACATAAAGTAATTGAAAAGGGGAAAATAAAGTACTCGGAGCTTAGACCATATGACCAAGTATGACCATATTTATTACAGTCGCAGTAAATATATGCAATAATTGACTGGTTGATCGGTTGATGGAGGTTTAATGCTCGAGTAAAAATATGCATTGGCTTTGTCGTTGACAAAACATATTTTCCAAAATAAAAATCATGCAAAAGACCAATTTAAGAGATAAAATCAATGTTTAAAACAAATTTCTTTTCACATTTAAAAGAAAGAAAAAATGTCAGTTATAGAAAGCATTACACCACTGGCCGAAGGAGGGAGAGGGTTGATTGCTCACAATAAAATTGAGAATGGAAATGGGGAATATGTCAAAGAGACAACAACCCGACCAAAGAGCAGACATGTTTAACCCCGCCACTTACTTTTTGTACCTATCCCAAGTCAGAAGCCTGTAATTGAGTGGTTGTAGTTGGTCCATGTTTGTCATAATATATTTTCGTATATTGCATTGTTATTAATTAGACTGTTAGTTTTTTCGTTTGAATTGTTCAATATTTTTCATAGCGGGGCTTTTCATAGCTCCCTATATGGTATATGTTTCTCTCTCTCATTGTTGTTAGGTCTATATGGTGGCTTATATTGCTCACATGCACGTCATTTGGACTCTGGCGGATACTTGTCTCATTGGTAATCAGACCACATCTCCTTATTTTCTTATTTAATAGGGAAAAAAAAGAATAATAAAAAAAAACGAACTGCAAGGTTAATTCAAAAAGGGGAAGTTCATAAAAACTGGCAAAATCAAACGTTATCAACCAAAGTTCATATTCCGAAACGCGAGAAAAGATCTAAAACGTCATATGTTATTAAATATTTATTTATGTATGCCTTATATTTTAAAACTCCTCCATTCGATGTTGAAAAATTATATTTCTATAAATTTTTACCAAAGAAAGATTATGTGAAAGAGTATTTTAAAAGTACGTAATTATCTTTTACTTGTAATTGTACACTCTGTAGTTTTTCTAAACGAATAAGTATCTGACGTGTCTATGTCAAATCAGACTTACAATTTGTTCCTTTTATTGTTTAAGGTGAGTTTGTTGTCATAATGATGACTTTTGATATTTTGTTTATGTTTTGAAAAAATAACTATAGTATTTTGACAAATTTTGACAATATTTACTTAATATCTGAACTTGTTATATTCCACTTTCTCATATCGACAGAATATAAATTGTAATCTAAATGTAGCATAGGAGGAGTATGATATTTTTGAAAGAGATTGACCAGTTCATCAGTGATTTAAATGTGCGCCATATTGTCATTTAAGTCTTTGTATACTCACCCCATCCTATTATCACGCAAATTATTATGAGTACTCTTTCCCCTTGGTATGCCTTCCGTAATATTGTGTGTAGATATAATCCTTCGCAAAACATCCAAGCAAAGTTACAAACCATAGAGAAATGAGCCAAAACATGTAATACCTGGCACCATACCTTAGAAATAATAACAGATATTTTCAATAAAGACTGACAGGCAAGATAAACATTCTAAATTTAGTGCTCTATCTGTCAGCAAACAGTAAGCAAGAAAGTACAAAGACTCGTGAACCTTTGTCATTAGCAGAAGAAAACTCATGAACTTTTGTCATTAGCAGAAGAAAATAAATATATATCGGTTTCTAAGTTTATAACTGGGACAGTTCAATTCAATGTTCACGGTAAAGCCTTCGATGGTATCATCTGTATTGCATATTTAGTCTTTTTGTACAGATTTAATTCAAATAATTATAATTGTAAATTTTGAGTTTATTAATGAAGTATTTGTGCTGACATTTAGACTGTAAATTCCTGAATCAAGGTTGTATTTAGATGGTTTTGTTATTATTACACCCTCATTAACATACTAAATATTTGGCATCAAGCTTTCTGAATTTCTACAAACGAAATTCTTTTACACAGCTAAATCTAGAAAATGTTTAGTCTGAAAACTTTAAGTATATGCAATATTCAAACTTTTAATGCTGATATAGGTAACGAAAAATATCAAAAATCGGCGACGGAACTATCCAAAGGGTAAAAGCAAATTGTTGTCATATATCCAAAACACCAATGAGTTTCAATTTAGTCAAACTAGCATTTAATACTTTGGAAAAACCATAAAAATCGTTGCTTCGATACTGATATGATTTAAAACATACTTTTGCAATAAAATTCTCCATAAATAAATAGATGAATTAAGAAATTACTAAAACAAAATAAGGTTCCAACTCCCTCAGGCAAACTTTACATTAGATGGATTGTGGTCCCTTTTGATCAAATAGCTTCGCATGGGTTTATGTAATCATACATCCCTGTCTTTCAGTTTGTTTGGATACGAACGTTCCTGGTGAAGGTAAATTCAGAAAAGGACTTCATACGGAACAAATTTATATAAAGTGTAATTTTCGGTTTTTTAACGCTGATATAAGTATCAGTATACAGGAAACTGAACGTGTCTAGGAGGTCTTGAATACCTCTGTAATGAAACTTCAAATTAGATAGTAAGAAATTACTTATGTTTTGTTGCCTTTCTGTAAAACATCTTGTATTGGCGTCTAACATATTCTAAAATTGTGGGATATGTGTAAGGTAAAATTATTGCTCATAATGTCTGATTTGTTTCCATTTAAGAAACTTATTCGTTAGACCTGTTTTGTATTTAGCTTAACCTATTTAAAAACAAACTTCTGGTCTACATAAGGTACGGTCAAACAGTATGATTGACTTGTCGATTATCGCTCACGAAAACCGGATGGACATGTGATCATATGATAACCTTTCATTCGGTTTCTATTCGAAAGGCAGAATATTAAGTTAAACACTCCAAATAAAAGTCAAAACAATAGACGAACAATTTGATTTATCGATAGTTTGATCTCGTCGCATATGATTATTCGTGATATGTTAGAAAAGTTCATGTTAGCTTTCCATAGTAAACCTACCCTTATTCTCATTAATTGTAAAAGTCTCAAACATCTATGTGGAGTGTGTTACCTTCCCTAATAGTAAGGTATTGAATGAGCATGCTTTTGCCATTAGTATGCAGAATAAAACGAACAGGTTTTTTAGTCTTAAATTTGTTCGCTGGTTTTGTAAACTTTACCTTTAGAAAGATTTACTCAAATGTAAATATTTACAACTTAAAAACTGCAGTTATAATTTTTCTTATATATTTGATTTATGTTAAGCATGTTAAGTATGTCCAACAAATTGTGAAATCCTAAATTTCATGCTTTTGTTTTAGAAAAAGAATTAAATATATTAAAAAGGTAATTTGAATCAGTAATAAATCATATAACTAGTGGCTTTCTGGCTGTGGTGTCATATAAGAAATAACTATCAGCTGCATAGACCAAAAGATTTCAATAGCATTCTCTGCTATTACTTTTCGGATTGAATATATTCATCAGTGAACATAATAACTATTTGAAATTATAATTTTGTTATCATATCTTACTGTGAGTGATCTTTAATATATACTAGTCAACAAAAAAGATACAAGACAATGCATGTTCAATATACATGTATAATGAAATTGTATGCACGGTTCCAAGACAAAATAAAATGCATAATAGGTCTAACATTAACAGTGTTATCAATTTTATTGGTACAAAGGCGCAATTTCTCTAAAATAATTTTGTTCACTCAAAATTTAAAACAGAATATAAGACTGAAAACATAAACAAAGTTTCATCAAAATTTTGAATGCCTTCGAAGATATTTGAATAAAGAAATTCATCGCCGAATATTTTTAATATTTTTTTTTATCCTCCTCCGCAAAATAAATCTCATAAATCGATTAAGAAGACATATCAAGGTTACAAACAATAACTGATAGAATCTCATGAACTCCAAAAGGAGCAACCAGATGCGTCGTTAGGGTAAGTGTATCCTGCTATGCAAGCATCGATATTTTGTTGGTATCGCACTTTTCTGTGACTAAATAATTGACTCGTAACAATGTATAATAGAAGACATTCTTCGAAGCTGCCATAGAAATAATAATAATTCTTATGAGAACTCTAGATTTTGTTTAGCTTTAATCGCCTTGGTGAATTATTTCCCGTATTTTAATATTCAATTTGAAAAAATGTGACGTTTTTTACCTCTATATTTTTCACACTTCATAATACGATTAATCTCGCACAGCAGATCAAAACATTTACAAGACGTTTGTCTGAACTCGTCAGAACCATTGTAACAAAACATATAAACATCTTCCTACTGAAGTTATTTCAGACAATTGATTTGTCAGACGCATTTAAAACGAAGTCACTTGGCAACATAAAACCAAATTTTCTTCTATAATCGGTCTGATCTGATGTATCCCCAAAGGACACATACCGAGAAAAATGTCACGATCTGCATTAGTATGTTGTGCCTTGAACTAAGTTGGTTACAGTGGACATATATGATTGCAGAATTTCAATGAATGAAGAGACGAATGTTGTTTCTATTATTATAAAGGTAACAGCTAATGCTATTATCATGTAGGTAACAACTACATGATATTATCATAAAGGTAACAACTCAATGCTATTATTATAAAGTTAACAACTCAATGCTATTATTATAAAGGTAACAACTCAATGTTATTATAATCAAGATAACAACTCAATGATATTATTATAAAGATAACAACTCAATGCTATCATTATAAAGGTAACAACTCAATGCTATTATTATAAAGTTAACAACTCCATGCTATTATTATAAAGGTAACAACTCAATGTTATAATTATAAAGGTAACAACTCAATGTTATTATTATAAAGATAACAACTCAATGATATTATTATAAAGGTTAAAGCTCAATGTTATTATTATTATAAAGATAACAACTCAATGTTATTATTATAAAGATAACAACTCAATGATATTATTATAAAGATAACAACTCAATGCTATCATTATAAAGGTAACAACTCAATGCTATTATTATAAAGGTAACAACTCAATGTTATAATTATAAAGGTAACAACTCAATGTTATTATTATAAAGATAACAACTCAATGATATTATTATAAAGGTTAAAGCTCAATGTTATTATTATTATAAAGATAACAACTCAATGTTATTATTATAAAGATAACAACTCAATGCTATCATTATAAAGGTAACAACTCAATGCTATTATTATAAAGGTAACAACTCAATGTTATAATTATAAAGGTAACAACTCAATGTTATTATTATAAAGATAACAACTCAATGATATTATTATAAAGGTTAAAGCTCAATGTTATTATTATAAAGATAACAACTCAATGTTATTATTATAAAGATAACAACGCAATGCTATTATTATAAAGGTAATAACTCAATGCTATCATTATAAAGGTTAAAACTCAATGTTATAATTATAAAGATATCAACTCAATGTTATTATTATAAAGATAACAACGCAATACTATTTTTATAAAGGTAACAACTCAATGCTATCATTATAAAGGTTAAAACTCAATGTTATTATTATAAAGGTAACAACTGAATGCTATTATTATAATGGTAACAACTTACGTAATTATGTTCTAGGGCGTCTGAATTGAGGACAACTAACGAATTATATAATATCCATGTTAGTCCAGTTAATATATAGGACAGGAAAAGGTTCTTGTGTATGAAAATTCTTCCGCACTTTAGCTGCCTGAAGAAATAATTACATTTTATTACATTAAATCGAAATTTATTAAAATTTGTAACCTAAACAAATAATGAAAAGACATGTGTATTGTATAAACTTAACTCCTTTGAAATACACAGAAGACACGATAGGTGAATCAACTTAAGGGGCATTAGCTGTCAAATTCATGTTCACCGATTTCACTCAATTCTTATATTCGACTTATAACATACTAAAACGCATATCCAAATTATAAAAAGTCTTAAATAAACAACTTACGATGCATAAACTCGATAGTATATATCAGAATTTCGTGTGTATTTTCGTCTAGACGCCATCTAATTAAATATCGAGGTGACCTCCGAAGACTGCCGACGGTCATATAACCCGAACTAAACATAAACATAGATATAGATAGATTGCGAACTCGTGCAATTGGGTTTTCTAGGTCTGTTTGATTTCATACTATAGTTTTAAAAAATATGTTAATCATCGGTTTTACCTGTATAAGAATGAGTTTTTCTAGATCGAACAAGTCAACCAAATGGTTTACACTTGTTTCACTTTCAATGTTTACATTCTTTTCCATTTAATAACTGAACACGACAAGTTCATGCGTAACCCGTCTCTTGCTATAGGGATCAATCAAAGTTCACATGAATACGGATTCAATGATGTCGAATTATTCACTTGAAATTAATTCATTAGCGATTTTTCTTTTTCAAAACTGAACCAAACTGGCTGTTAAAAGCGAATTATTATTTAACTATTTCACTTTCATTAATGATGGAACAGAAAAAATCTAATTTTTTTTTTTGTATATCTCATAG